ATATATATGTTGTTAAAACAGCGCCACTTCTACATTGATTATTTTTGTGGCCAAATGTGGTACTGCAGGTTGGCGTGATTGGCAGTACAGAGTCCATTATCTTTTCTAGACATCCACTCCGAAGTTTCAATAAAATTCTAAAGTATATTAGTAAAGTATCATGTAGAGACAAGTTATTCCAGATATTCGTGGCTGCTTGCACAAAGGACCAAGTTCTGCCCGCAGAGCACACGTCCCGCCCTCCCGGAAGTAGCAGAGAAAATATAAACGTCTTCCGTCGCTCCATTTTCCATCGAGCGTCGACGACGGAGAGGTGTGCGGCTTCGGCAARAGACGGTGATAGCGAGGGCTGTGAATAGCATCAAAAACGGTACAGATAGCGCAAAAAAATCTAACAATATATATAAAACGGGACTGTGTTTTGAATATATTTTTGCATTGAGTTACTATATCGCCACAGTCGCATGGATTTCATTGTTTGATGTCTGTGGTCGTAACACGAGTGGTCCCGCTAAGGGAGCAGGCCTCGACAGCCATTTTAGTTTAAAACCGCTATTAGCTCCGACATTTAATCCACCCATAGCTTCCGTTTTGAACCGAGTTACGTTTGTAGTTTCCGGGTTCAATGGTTTATTTGAAGCCGAATATGTTTTACAACTTGTAACGCTTGCTAGTTAGCACGAGCTAAATGCGGTAGAAAAGTAGGTCATCCGGCTAAAGATTGTAAAAGCCTTTGAATAATTGACTGTTCTGTTTCACTGAACTGTGTTTGTTCGTTGAAATAATGCATTTAGCTTATTTCTCTTGTAAAAAAAATATGTAATTATAGAAAAATATACTGGTTAAAATCTGGTTTAGCGCTTATTGAATTACATCGCGCAACACTTAGTGCGCATGCGCGGAGACCTAAAGTCCACGTTCAGAGATGAATTTCGATTCTCCTGCATGTGTGAATGAAAAAAGGCTCGTGTGTTGTTTGGACTGTTAGGACTGAGTGATGAGTGTTAGAGTAATAAAACTGGCTGGTACTTTTTGTCTTATACTTTGACAATAGTTTTTGTCAGCTTATATAATTTTGTTTCTGTTCTATATTTCAGACCCAGTCATGCATCGGGAATGTCCCCTCGACTGTAAGGTCTACGTTGGTAATTTGGGAAATAATGGAAACAAAACAGAGCTGGAGAGAGCGTTTGGCTACTATGGCCCTCTCCGCAGCGTTTGGGTGGCCAGGAACCCCCCAGGTTTTGCTTTTGTAGAGTTTGAAGATCCCCGGGATGCCACTGATGCTGTCCGAGAACTCGATGGGAGGTGAGAAATATGCGTGTAGTGAGGTGTAGGGGGGGGAAATTGTCTTTTATATATAATTACATTTTTTTAATATTAATTTTTTTGTAGGACACTATGTGGATGCCGGGTACGAGTGGAGCTGTCCAACGGTGAGAAACGTAACCGCAACCGGGGCGCTCCCCCCTCGTGGGGCAGGCGTATTCGAGACCGAGACGACTATCGGCGTCGTAGCCCTCCGCCCAGGCGAAGGTGATCTGCATGTTACCTGTTGACACACAGCAGCAATATTGTTTGTGATAATGTCCTTCTTTGTCACTCATCTCTTTTTTTTTTTTCCTGATTACATTGGTGACTGTTGCTCTGTCAAAGCTTAACAGTTTCATCTTCATTGGCATTAGTCATTCAGTGCAACCAGCCAAGCAAAACAGGTATTCAAAGCCTGATTCTGATTTATGACATACTAATAAGAGCATTCACTTTGGCAACCTATGAATGCCTTTCTATAAAAGCATTTTAAGTATGACACGCAGGACATATCTTGCTTCAGGCATAAATGCTTCTTTTGAAGTGTGTTCTGTTGTGTCTTTTCTACTTTAGCTTTTGTACAGTGGCACAGTGGGTATGTGAAACAGGTTCAGGCACTTTCTTATTCTAGAGTAACTTGTTTAAAGATTTGGGAGGATGAAAGTACCAAATGTGTTATTTCTTTTTTTTTTTTTTGAGGATGCTTTTTCCTTTTTATCTATATTAATAAGAATGAACCCATTGCAGAGCCACCACCATGCCTCTTCTCACCACCCTCTGAGTCAGTCAACTAGTCCTCTTTCAGCATCATGTGACTGCTGCCCATCGTGCCCCAATCAGCTTGGCTGGTGTTGTCACATGACCCGGGCATGGCCAGTCGTCAGGTTGCACCAACCCATTGGTTCCTCAGCATGCCGTTCTCAGCCTCCTCCTTCAGCCTTTAACCAAACGGCAGCGGCCCACCTCACATTCCCGACCAATCAGCGTATTATGTTCCCAAAAGTCTACAACCTACCAGCAGCAGCCTTCGGCTTACCAATTAAAGCAAGAATAAAGCCACAACCGGCCCCCACCTGCCTGCCAACTTATCACCTTGCAGCARCCGGCCAGTCCCATTCAGCCAATTCTACCCACCCGGCTGACTGTCTGCCTCCCTTTCGTCATTTCTAGCTTGTTGAAATCCAAAAATACTAGTAAGTTTTCCTGCTTCATTCAGTACACTGCAGATTACAGATTTAACACTGAAGAAACAGCTGGTTTGACGAGGTTATTTATTTCAGTTTGTCACATTGTCCACAATTTTATTTATTTATTTTTTTCAAAAAGGGGGAAAATCTAATATCTGGAATATATGGAACTTGATATMAATAAATAATCTTTAGAGCTCTGAGCAGAATTATAACAATCATACATATTAAAACTTGATCAAAAGTATTTTTGACAAGTAAATCTGATTGTGTAGGTGCGAGATTTTGACCTGGTTGTTTCTTAACTTATTTCCTMTAACAAACACATTTTTACTAGCCTCCTTAATTTTCAGCACATTGGTCAGTCCACAGTACAATGTTTGATTTAAAATAAATACAGATTACTTTATATAGTTCCTTTTTCTGTATTTAAAAAGCCTAATCAAAATCCATATCCYTATTTATATATCGACCTGAAAATACAAACTAGAATTAAATAAAATAATAATAATCTTGACCTAATTTAAAGTTTCACATTGTACTGTGGGATAGGTGTGTGGAGATTCCTGAGCATCTGCCATCTTTATGTGCTTTATTGCTAGTGATCTATTTTATAACAAGATTTCTCTTGGAGGAAAAAAAACAAAACTATTTCTCTGTTAACTTTAAAGAAAGACGTGGGGGCTGTGTTGATTATAGCCCAGTGTAAGAAGTAACATATTTAGTTCTGATCAGTGCGTCTGTCATTTCCTAACTCGTGGATTTTCCTCGTGCAGATCTCCACGCAGGCGGAGCCTGAGCCGCAGCCGAAGCAGGTACGTTTGACAGTGTCGTACATTTAGAAGCTGAAGTTTGTGGTGGGGTCAGGAATTTGTGGCATTATATAAACCTATTATTATAAATTGTGCCAGTCAAAGGAATTCATACAGCTCTAGTCAACTAATATAAACGTAAACAGGGTTCCTGCAGATCCTTAAGTCTTTAAAAGGAATTAAATTCATCAATCCAAAAATGAGGCCTTAATTAACATTAAAATGTCTTAAATCAATCTTTCAGAAGTCTTAAATGTTAACACATTGTAAATAGGATGACTAATTCATCTCAAATAATTTTTTTAATCACATGCAGACATTCCCCTTTGACATCACTTCCTGTTATTTCACATGCAAATATCTCAACTGTCCATCTGAGCAATGTGAAATTGGTTTTCTAATATGTTAATAATATTGTCTTTCCAAAAATGCATTCACTTGTCTTATAAAAAATTTGTCACAGACTCTACAGCGAATTGGGGTTAAGACCCCACTGTGGGTCCTAAAACTCCAAATTTTGGGTCGTTAGAGGATTTCCTGAAATTACATTAATTTTAAAACCGACTAAGAATGTTTCTGCTATAGTTAGATATGGATAAAAACAATTGGTCTATTGGCAATATTTGAATATTTCAAAACTACTTTTATTCAAGAGTTTTTGCCAGCTTTTTTTTGTCATTTGTATTTATTATGAAACTGTAGGAACCCTGGTAAATAATTGTGTATTTGAAAGAATAGACTAAAGATATGGTAATTGTATTACTGCAKATCTGATCAACTTGTGTGTGGTGGTTTTATTTTTATTTTCCCTCCCAGGTCTTTATCCAGAGACAGGAGGAGAGAGAGGTCCCTCTCCCGGGACAGGAACCACAAGCCCTCTAGGTCCTTCTCTCGATCAAGGAGGTACTGACAAGTATTGTTGTATTTCTCAGCATAGTATGACTAACTCCTTATATACTCAAGGAGTTATTTGCAACACATTCTCAAACTCATGGGTGTCCAGTCCTGGTCCTCCATGGCCCCTTGTCCTGCATGTCTTAGTGTTTTTTTTTTTTTTTTGTTCTGTAATTACATCTGATTGTAATGAATGGCTGATTAACGGGCTTTTGTTATAAACTTGAAGAGAGAATTCAATCACTGAATCTGTCATGTTGGAGTAAAATATGCAGGATGTCAGCCCTTGATTAGATTAGGATTAGACACTCTTGCTTTTACTACTTCTCATATAAATATGTTGCATTTAAAGTTTTGCTGACTTTTCTTTTTCTACAGTCGCTCCAGATCAAACGACAGAAGATAAAAAGTCTGCCGGGTGTAAAAGGAGCTGAAGATGAACGTTTGAACATGCTCGTCCGTTTGTATGAAGGACCTGAGCGTGACCACGTTTTTTTTTTTTTTTTTTTTTTTTTGTGTTGATTGGGTGTGTTCAGGTCTTATCATTGTCACCTGATCAGTGTGTTGTCAGTCTTGACACCACCTGTCTCACCCTGCATTCCAGAGTTTAATCTCTTTTGAGCTTTGGTTTTCATCCGTAGATGTTTTTGTGGGTTGACGATGTGAGTAGTTCGGTCATTTTTCACTGTAAGTGTGATGTTTTTTTCTTTTGTTTGGCTTTTTTTTAATAAAAGAAATGGAAATGTACACATTTCCTCTTGTGAAGACCACCCATTTTCAACTTGCAGTTTAGTTTTAATCTGATTCTTATTCAAGAAGCAAAGCTACAGCATTTATTCAGACATGTAGAGTTCAACTTTTGATCTAATAAGTTTTACATTGCTCTTTTGTTTGATACAATGTGAAGTAGTCTCAATAAAAATGCTGGTTTGTCAACCTGGTCAGTTTGTATTTGTCTCGTCCGCTTATTTTTATTATTTTAAGTAGTCTTAAATACACAAATTTTACACATTCCACTAGAGGGTGCCACAACATAACACAAGGAAGTGAAGATAAGATGGTGTTTCATAAATAAAGCACCAGGAAGTTCAGATTAGATTTCAAGGAATTGACTTTTAGGTTTTCCCCTTGTTAAAACTGGTATCTGTGACTCAGTATTGGTGTTTTTCCTTAATCATTAATCTATTTTTCATTCTATCAATGCTTAAATTGTGCCTGTCATGTAGTCCTACTTGATGGAAAACAATGAAGCTAAAAACTTGAAGTTATAAATTAGTGATGTGATGCCTTTTTAATTTGAAGTTAATCACCAAATTTATAAGTACAGATGAATTTGGACTTGCCGAAAAAAGAATTTATAGACCATTCTGTGYGAAGTATTTATTTTAAAGGCTAGGGAAAACCAGAGATTTAAATAAAGCTGTAATAGTTAATATCAATATTACTATCACTAAGATCTTTGTCACATAACCATTTATGCTGTCTGGTTTATGGAAAGAAGCTCTAACCTGTCAACATACTTGTTCACTTAGTTCCTGGTATGAAATCAGTACGTAACATCGCTGACTAAGAAAAACTTTTCTTTCAACTAGAATAGATAAAATACTCAAATAGTGACTTCCTCTGTCACTGATGTGCATGACAAGACCAATTATCACCTTCAAAGCAAATAAAATTTGCAGTTTTAAGAACAGTCCATATTTAATATGTGACATCACTGTAGGAAGAAATGTTTTTATTTCTATTCGCAGAACTCAGATTCAGATGTTCACAAAAAAAATGAACTGTGACAAGAGAAACCGAAATTTCAGACAGTCACTGGGTTTTATGTCACCAGGAGGAGAATGTAAACATCCCATTTGATGCGTGTGATTGTATGTTACAACGGCCTGCCATACATCCGAGCACATGTAGCTGAATAAACATTACAGAAACGTGTTGACTCGTAAACTCCACCTGTTTTACAGTTTTCAGCTCCTTTCGTCAGTTCGGTCTGTTCCGTCATGTTCTAGTACAAGCACGGACACATCACGTTCTCAAATTGGCGCGCGCTTTTCCAAGCCGCTCCCGCGAGATCACCGAAGCACGTGGTCTCCATGGAGACGAGTGGAGCTCGTGAAGGAAACCCGCGCGGGAATCAGTCCACCCATTGAGATACCTATGGAGTGTAATCTCCCACCGACTGTTACACAACAAACACGTGTAAAAATTACGGGATTAGATTAAGTAACTTCTGTCTACAACAGCTACAAAGCCATTCATAAAACAGCTTAATTCTTTTAAAACAAACTTATTTAGGTAAAATAAACCATGTTTTTTTTAAATAGATGAATTATTTAAAATAATTTTCAAAAATATTCTAATATCTGTAAACACCATTCTGATCTATCTCATTTATTTAAAAAATAGGCTATAGTCGTTTTTGCATAAATGATACACAAAATTGGCATGAATTTAAAAAGTACACATTTTGACAACTTATGGCTTTAGAATGGTTTCCCATCATTGCTCCTTGATGTCAGGACAAAGTTCAAATCTAAATCTGAATTATTCAATCCAGGAAACAAACTTTAAGCAGCAAAATATTATTTCAACACGATTTGTTTTATGTACATAACGTTTTAAATGGAAAGTGTCAGTTGCTGGTTATACTTTAATGTATATTTGCTAGAATTTAAGCTTTAGAGCATCATAATACACTACAATAAATGTTACAGGAAATGAAGCAAATGCATTTTGCTTTTATCAGTATATAACATGTATATTTAAAATACAGTATGTGTAAATTATTTTTTATCATCTATACATAATGCGAGGGATTATTCATGGTTTGCACTGAAGTCTGTAAAACCTCAACATGCATCTTCAATGAGTAATATCACAATTAAGTATAAGTTCAAACAGAATTGTATTAATGTTGTCATTTTGCCAATAAGCTTACAGTAAATATTCTATAACCAGAGCTTCTTATGATAAAACTGAGAAAAGTACCTTTATTAGTTCTCCAGATAAATTATTAACCAAGTGTTTATGCAAAGTCTGCAAACCAAACGAGACAAAACTTACTTGAAGTGTAATTAAAGTAAAACATGAAATAAATAAATCAGTTTAATTTCTGAGGCTGTTTTTGAACAGGATGCTCTCACTGTAACTTTACTGAATGAAGCTGTGTCGTTCTGTGAGAGGTTTCCAAGTCTGCAGGAGTTTCTCTCGTGTCCTGTTGGCCGACAAAGACCTCACTGTGCTCTCAGACCCGCCGGGCCTTTATGACGCCCAGCCTACCCAGCTCCTCCTAGTTGGAGCTCCTGCTGCTGAAACTGGGCCGCTGCAAAACGTGAGGAGCCTGGCAGAGGTGACTCATGCTGGAATAAACTGAACATGGCTTGAATGACAAAAGTGGGAGGAGCCAAACTTGAAAACCAGGAAGGATTTGTATAACACTTGTTGGAGTTCTCTCTGAATGTTTCAGATTGATTACAGATGCACCTCAAGCTGTAGGTTAGACGTTAATAAAGTAATGAATAAAACTGAATTTTAGATTCAAATGTTTGTTTACCTTAAGGCCATATCAGCTGATTTTTTACTGCCTTTGACTAGATGTTTGTGATAAAATAACTACCAAATATGTATTTTTACTACCAAAAGTCTGCAGTATATTCAGTAATAAATGGGGAAAATCAGCAGAGTCATGGTTTACAAACTGTACATTGTGTTGCATTAGGTTTTAATAATTTTCTAAGATTCAATTGAAGAAATGGGAACAAACTGTGCCTTTGTAGAAAAAACGTGCTGAGCTCTTGTATTTAGGAGTTTTTATATCTAATTTAAAAAAAACGCAGGCCAGCGGTCACTCTTTCAGAGATGAGGATGTTCTCATTCTTGATAGAGAGGAACGTTGGTTTGAGAGAGGAGTAAAAMAAGCCATTTTTGTGAAGAAAGACCGTCCYTCATTAAACAGAGGTGGAGYCCTCRGTTTTCAGTTGTCCCCCTCCTACAGRGCTGCRATTGSCAGTATCACTCCACCCCCTGTTAACAATAYGTGTTAATTAGGTGTSAARGATAGCCATGTGATGTGAGTATCAGTCACATGGAGGCAGMGCTTAAAAGCCTGAATTTTGCCTGAAACTCTCAGAATGAAGAAGTCTCTTGGAGGAGAGACGAAACGTTTCATTAGAGAAGAACCCGTCCAGAAGACCTACGCAATTTTTTTTCTTTTTGATTTTTTACCTGGATTACTGAGATGCATCAGGATATATCTAATTATTCATGTGTGGATTTAAGAAAACAGGAGTATCTCTAAAAATGATCAGGTACTGGGCTGAAAATATGTGCGTGTGTATGTTTTTGTTACCAGGTGGGGATGATTTTTGACCATTTTCCTGGTACACACAACCATGTGAGGACACACTGTTCCTTATGAGGGCAAAAGCCTGGTCCCCATTGGGGCAAAAAAAAACGCTGGTGGGTCAGGGTTTAGGTTTTGGTATATATTGGGGTGATTAGGTTAGGGGGGTGTCAGGGACTTTTAAATGAATGGAAGCCAATCCAAAGTCCCCATAAGAATAGAAGAAGAAGTGTTTTTGTGTTTAGCCGTCTCCAGGACACTCCTGCAGGAGGGAGGGGAGTCCTTCCAGGGACCAGACGTCCCGAGCTGGAATTTCCTCCACTCCAGAGCCAAAGCTTCACGTGTCCTCGTGTGTTTACGGGTTCAGAATCCACGTGTGTGTGTGAGTGTGTGTGTGTGTGAGACAGCTGACTCCACCTCCACTCCAGCTCAGAGTGTCTCCACCCACAGGAGTTCATAAGAGTCCGACCCGGTCCATGGCTGCGAGAACACTTTCTAGGATCTAAGAGACACTATCCTGTGGCTGCTGCTGGACCCGTGGAGCTTCTGGATTAAGTCACTTCAGCCCGAGGCTTCGTCTTACATCACAGTTGTTGTGAAACTTGAAGAGAAAAGTAGTGAGGAGGTGGTGAAGCTGACTAAGTGGACCACAGCTCTGAGACAAGGACCATCTTCGGATTTGGCTCAGAATGTAAGTAAAAGTCAAACTTTTTTATTTAATAATAAGCAGCTAATTTGGATCTATAATTGTAATCTTTTTATGTACACAGCCTATAAATGATTAGTTTAAAATGTTAGTTACAATTAATGCTTATTAGACATGTTTCCACATACCGATCTCAGTTTGAAACTTCCCAAAAGCCTTGAAAGTTTCATTTAGTTATTTTTAGACGTGTGTGTGTGTGTGTGTGTGTGTGTGTGTGTGTGTGTGTGTGTGTGTGCATGCATGCGTGTGTGAAATAGTGAGTCAGACTCCAGACAGTGTCAGCAGAGTTTGACATGAGCTCCAGCCTCACGTGGAGCAGCAGAGATGGGCAGGGTCCCAGCCGGCCACGCACCATTCGTTCTCCCGCCACACAGCTTGAATCACTCCTCCTCCTCGCTCCGCCCGGCACGGCTCGGCCTCCCCTCCTCTTCCTCCTTTTCCTCCTCCCAGTGTGACATCGCTGGGGCAGAGTAAAACTGGGTTGATTCAAATCAGTAGACCCTCTGACCTCTGACTCTGTATGGGAAGACAGTTTGTGTGGATTTAAAATAACCAAATCATCACTCCATGCTGTGTTTTAGCTTGTAGTTTGATGAAATTATTCACCCGGAGAGGAAACTTAAGTTGTCGAATAAATAGTAAAACCAAAATATTCTTACACTATAATCAAGGCTTGTCTCATCTCATTTATACTTAATTGTCTATCTTTAAACCACACATAACCTGGTATTTTGTTAAAAACTACCAGTAAGGCTGCAGCTGATGTGTCGGAACTGCTCCAATACTTAATCATCCAGGCTAACTACATTTGTTTCTAATTATTTCTGCTGTAACTGGATCATTGGGGCGGGTTGGGCCTGGGTTTCCTCAAATGTTTCCTTCCCGGACGCGGTTAGCGACTTGTTCCTTCCTGCAGTTGTTCCGCAAAAGAGTCAAGAGTCATTCTCTTGATTCAGAGGTGTTGTATGCAGCTGTGGGCGACCGTGGCTGAGTAGTTAGGGGAATCGCCCTCCAGTGAGAGAGTTAGTGGTTCGATTCCACCGTTATTCAGTGTACATGTCTCCATAGGATGATTTATATATACAGATTGGGTAAATGAGGGCACAGATTGTATAAGAGCTTTGAGTATCCTTGTTGAATAGAATGGTGCTACATAAGTACTATTAATTTATGTAAACCACTCTGATTTACAAAACAGTTTGGATCAGCAGCTCCTGTGCAGTCTGATGGGAGTGAGAGACCGCCACCGTGTGGCTAATCTCTGCGTTTACAGCAAACAACAGCAGAGCAGAGGATTTGCCCTTACATGTCTGTCAGAGATTATGTCCAGGCATGTACCAGTGTTTTACAGAGGAGGGCTCAGTGACTCACTGGCTGCTGCTATAAAACGCAGCCAGAGCGCTGCGATCAGTCTGTCTGTTCACTGAGGAGGTGCTGTGCTGACTGGAAGAATGGTGAGTGTCTGATTTAAACTGAGGCAGGAGCAGAGTTTAAAAAGTGGAAGGATTGGTTTTAAATTAGGTTTATATGGTATTTTTTTTATTTGTCTATGCTCAACATGCTTTCAGAAACGGGTAACAAACAAGGGTACAAACTTTGAAAACTTTTTTTTGAACGTTACTCAAGAGTTGCTGCTGTGCTTGTCCAAACTAACCGGAAGCCCTTTGCCTTTCAGTGCAGAATCATGGCTACAGCTCACAAGCGCATCCTGAGCCCGCTGAGGAGAAGCGGGCCCACCCGACGCAGCCTGTTTGGCCCAGTGGACCGAGAACAGCTCCAGGTGGAATACCAGGCCGCCCTGAGTAAAGACCTGGAAGAGGCGTCTAAACGCTGGGGCTTCGACTTCATCTCGGGCAAACCCCTGGAGAGCGGTGACTTCCAGTGGGAGGGCGTACTGGACTCCAGGGTGCCGCTGCTCTACAGATCCTGTGTGCCCAACGTTAAACCGACACGAGGTCAAAGGCCAGCGAGCTCAATGGCATCAACCAAAAGAGCAAGGGCGGCGTCGCCAGAGAGCGAGAAGGAGAACATCCCCCAAACACCAGAGAACCGCCTGCTGAACCTGGAAGACGTGGAGAAAACGCCAGAGAAGGGAGACAGAACAGGACTGAAGAGGAAACAGACAAACATTACAGGTACGTGTTCAGTTGTTCTTTGACATCTGTCACCTTCTGTCACAGAGTTAAAAACCATCAGCTTCTTTATCCCGACAGATTTCTACCAGGCTAAGAGGCGAATAGTTTGGATGCCGAGGAAATCCGGCGAGTGATATCCACGGGAAAGAGAACCACAGCAACAAAAAGTCCCCTCCTCAGGAGTCAGATACTCAACGCATACAGCATGAAGAATTAAATTTAAAAATAATACAGTATACAGTTAATTAGGGTACTGTATCTGAGGGGTTTGGTGGGTTTTTTCCCCCTCCAGTGGTTAAGAAGGGGACATTTGAGAAGAGAAGATTAACGGTAATCCCTGGAATCAGTGGATTTATACTCGTTTGGATTGAGGGCTTGCCAAAGTGCTGACTGACTTTTGCCTCAGCTCAGCTTTGTGGGAACTCTCAGCCTCCTGCAGGATGGAGAAACGACAGACCCACGCCTTTCTGAACCGTTATGAGTTTCAGCAACAAAAAGAAAGGAAGAAGTGCCTCATCTTTGTGCAAATCCACTATGTTTTAAAGGGCTGAGATTCTTTTTTTAAAGCTGTATTATTATTCTTATATAGGAGAAATCTTAAGGGGTTGTGACATATTGAACATGCAGCTGCTTTGCTTTTTCCACCCGGTTCTATCTGCTGTATGTGAAATTCTAAAAAATCCTCTACAGCTGCCCCGCCCAGACCAGATAATGTCACTTAGGTTTGTAGCATCATGTCTCTGCAGCACTTATTTATAGGATATATAACAGAGACTTAGTCGTAGAGTTAAATATAGTTAAAAAGCTCGAAAGCAAACTTGCAGTATTGCACATAAATCTTGTGTTTTAGTATTTTAAGCTCCATAAAAAGAACAAGCAGATGAAATGTTGTTCTCTAAGTATTGTTTAAAGCCACAGACTTTATTGCCTTTTTATTTTTAAGTGTATGTTTGAGTTTCCTGTTCTGATCATTCCTGCTGCTACAGATAATCTGGATGATAACGGACACATTCTTGTAATTCTAATCCTTTCGCACGCTGTCAATTTTGAATTGTTCACCAATGGGGAAAAATGTAAAAAACAGTCCAAAAACAAAATTGCCATTTCTGTTAGTAGATGCTTGTTCACAGATCCTAAACGCTGCATTTAAATATGTCTTTATTTATTGAGGTGTCAGGCCTTGTGTCGATTCTAGTGTTGATTTTAAATTTAAATAAAATTTATTGAAATGTTTTCTTGTGAATGTTTCTTTTTGCACAGGATTAAACACCTCATACACCACACACACACACACATTAGGATAACTTTCTACCCTACCTGTATTTGTAAGTTTAATTTTAATTCAGTAAAATAAGTCAGGAAACACTGAACAGATTTTAATGAATTTCAGAAAGGCATCACTGGATGAACCTCTACAACTGGTTAACTTTTTGACTCAATCCAAATCAAGATCACCAGCAAACACAAAAATGTATATAATTCAGCAATTTTTACAGATAATTTGCTGAAATTTGTGGTGATGGTAGCTGAGAGTTATCTCCAACTCATACTCTAAGCACTGATGGCTCACACAAAACCTTTGATTCAAACTCTGACAGGGAAGGCAGGCGATGTGCATTCTTTCAAGGAGTCCTACTTTCAGAAAGAAGCTTTGACACCATCAGCTCAAATAGCTCTGATCTTTAGAGGTGAGGTTTAGAAAATGGTTTGTGAACAATTAATATCTTACCTGTTGCAGATGGCTCTTTGAATGACCTCAGTTTGAAGTTTTATTAAACTTACCACATTCAGTTTTAAAAAAACACATTTTTTCCATCACAAAGATAACATCCCTGCCCAAAAAGCTTCATGCTGCAATTGAAGTACTACAGCTAGCTGCTGCTACAAACAAAAAAAACAAATATTTTATGTCAAGGACTCTATAGCTGTGGTCAAGTTGTCCACTTAGTAATTAGTTCCCCATACAGCAAGTCAAATGCTTTTCTAGTGCTGTTTAAAACTTTAACCAGAACTTTTTATAAATGTTATAGTTCAGTAAAAGTTCTGTATATATGCTATACACTAAAAAGACCATAATGCATTGCAGCCTAAGCCGTGACAGCAGGGTAATCAAGGCTAATGCTAACATCTGCGCCTTATTATTGTGGTTTTTAAGACATGTTGAAAATGCCTTTAATTTTCTACACATCTCATTTATTGATTTTTTTTATTCTTGAACACAAGCTACAACTTCAAGAACAGTTGTTCTGTACAGAGGTATTTTGTAGGGCTCATAATTCTAAATATGAAGAAGGTTGTGATAAGAGCTGCAGTCTATGCTTGTGTAAATAAACTTAGCACAAAAAGTCAGAAAATTACTGTTTGGTAGATTATTTCTTTGTTGTAACAACTTCTTGGCAATAAATCTTATACTGCTAGAAAGTCTGGTAAAGCCTGTTAATTTCCCTTTTGGTGCCACATTTGTAAGGAACATGCATTTGTGGGATGAGCAGTAGAGCTGAGTATTTTTTCAAACTTTATTCATTTCTTTAAAAAAATCTACGTACAGTAAAAAGAAAATACAAATAAAATTAAATGAAAGGTGGCAGGGAAGAAAAAATCGTATATCTGCCCTTTTTTCCTCAAGTATAAATTCAAACAATAATAATCTTCAGTTTATAAAATAAGACAAAAACGTCAAATCTTTCTAGAACAACAAATTATATGGATACAGATTATACCGTTTCATATTTTTTTAAACAATCTAGCCTTTATCATTCTTTTAAACATGTACATTGATTTGACACTTTTAACATCATTTTCCAGATCATTCCACAATCTGACTCCTTGGATTGAGGRGCACCGTTCTTTCAAACAGGTCCTAAATTTAGGTTTCATGAACAWCTCTGTCCCCTTAAAATATAACAGCTCTCTCTTTGCAAAGTTTATCTGAATGTTTAAAGGTAATGTGTTTTGGTGAGCCTTATACATTACTAACAGAATGTTAAAATCAATCAAATCATTAAATTTCAATTAATTCAGTTTACAATATAATAGATGAATATGAGGTATGTGATGAGTATGTGGGTTGCCAAATCTTCTTTGACAAACAGTTTATTTTGCTGCAATCGACACTTGTTTTGAGTGTTTGGTACCCCCAGGTGCTGCCAATCAGGTGCCCGGTATGAGATTTATTGCCAAGAAGCATTGTTAAAACAAAGAAATCATCTGCAAAACACAAATTTCCATACTTTCTGAGCTACGTAAATATACATCCTCACATCAGACTATGAACACTACTATAGTGACCCTGACTGCAGTGAGCATATGTTCAAAGAGCTATCTACGACAGATAAGATGTTGATTGTTCATTACCTTCCTGCATAACTTTACTTAAAAAGATATTTGAGTAGATTTTCATTTTCCATATTTCTGTCACTTTAATAAGATCGTACTATTTCTGCAGCAACAGTACTCACATGTCTTTACAGCGACACCTCCAGTTCCTCTCTTGTGATGAAAGCTTGTTTCCATCTCGTCTCGTCCCTCCCCGCAGCGCTCGCTCTGACACTCCAGCCTGAACAGGAACACCGCACGTTAAAGAAACACAGAGTCACGGATTGTTGGGATCCTTTCATTCTTCTGTGAAGAAAGGGGGAATCACTGCTCAGAGCTGCTGTGTACTTTGGCA